CCCCATTTTCCCCGTTACCCTCTCTTCTGGGCCCCTGACTCTTTCTGCAACCTTTTTACTGTTACTCCTCGACTGCTTCTCACCTGTCTTTCGTCCGCACCCGTGATCTTATGGTAGGTAAGTAAGATTTAACACCTCTAGTCTTCTCGGATAAGGGGGAAAAATCTCGGAGGCCCCGTGTGAAAGTTGCGCACGTTAAAGATCCCTAGGTGGTCCTAAAATAGATAAGTAAGAATAAGAGTAGGCTTCGGCCGCCACCCGGGCTGAATTCAAAATTTTCTACCAGCTGAAAAGTGTTTATAATTAATGTGTCCCGCGCGCTCATATGACCTAATGCAGATACGAGCGCCGTAAAACACTTTTTTTTTAAAAAGCTTCCCGGGAGGCATACAGTGCAAGATGAAGAAAGCACGCACTTAAACTACTTAAACTAAAAGAAACAGACAAGATATGTCGCTGTCTATTGCTGGGTGCCATCAAGGTGATAGGTGGAAAATTAGTGAAAAGTATATTTCCCAAGCACACAAGGTCGGGCCCCTGACGTGGTTCGAACCCACGACCTTGTATAACCACTTATAGGTCATGATACAGGGACATGTACCGGTGTGTACTTTATTTTTAAGGACTGGTCCCAAACATTACTTTTTGTTTTAATAAGATTGTTACAGCTCTTGCAGCACAATAAGGTCATATAAGTGCCGAAGATTAGGGTGTTACAAGAGAGTAACATACACAAAAACGGAGGAGGGATTAGGACGATAGATGTTTGATAGGAAAGAAGGAGCAAACCACACTAGAGCACCCGCCAACCACCCGCCCAAATATTAGACTGGGCCGTCAGTTGACTAATGGTAAGAGCTATATTGTTTTTGTATACAAATACGTAGGGACCTGCTATTATATTGGGGAAGATGTCATTTCTAAAACCTGTACGTTTGCAGCGTTTGAGTGGCAAACTAACAGAAGAACGATATCAAGGGTATATAAAAAAAAATTATGCATCGCATGCATTACATTATTCAATTTCGTTAATGAATTTAGCTCATTTCCACCACAAGACAATGGGTGGTTGGCGGGTGCTCTGGTGTGGTTTGCTCCTTCTTTCCTACCAAACATCTATCGTCCTTATCTCCCCTTCTTCTTTTTTATGTTTGTTACTCTCTT